TTCTTTTATAAAGATAAAAATAAAATTAAAAAAAGAAGCCACCAATTTTAATCTATGCATGCGCTGAGCTAGAGCCTATTCATCCTCTGTTGGCCACCTGAGCAGCCGATAATCTCATTTTATACCCTGAAATTAACAGATTTTGACTATAAGGATTTAGGTTTGTAACGGTAGAAACTATAAGGATCCAAATAAAAGTAAAAAATTGTAAGGACCTAATTAAAATGTTCGTAAAATTATAAGGATTGGGAGATTAATTTCTCCTTTTTTTAAAATTTAAAACTCGCACCGAGTCGAGTAAACTTTGTGCCAAGCAAAGCATATTGATTGAAAGATAAGTGCTTATAATTTATTCGCCTTTTATTGAATTAAGTTTAGCTGTTGGCAAAAAAACAAAAAAAAAAAAAGAATTAAGTTTCGGAATGGTCCTGTGCGTTTGATCAAGTTTCTTTACTTGAAGGCCTGAGCCATGGAAAATTAGAAATAGATAACGATTTACAACAAGTTTCACTCGTTTATTCACAGGCACTATCATTGACTTGATAAATCAGGAGGGATTTACGTTAACCCCCCCCCCCCCCCCCACCATTGTCGTGCTTCGATAGTAATAGATGTACATGTTGAGATTTATAAGAGCCGAAATTGCAAAGACGGTGTTATGGACTTTAAGTGGGTCGTATATGGGCCAGAGTGCATAGACCTAAAAGTTGTGGACACGGGCTTCGAGCTCGATAAGAATTTATCAGAACCTGACCTTTCTTTCTTTTCGCTCGTTTGGTCGTTGCCGGCTCAAGCCCATAAAAACAAAAAAGCAAGGAGACGAACCAAGATCCACTTCAAGTGGCAAATACCACCCCAATTCCGCAAACAGGCCGCAACGATGCCTTTCGCTTTCTCATCTTCACTGGCTTGAATATTCGAGAGTAACTAAGACCGATATTAAGAGAACCTTGACTGGATAATTATATAAATGTCTCTAGAATTTAAAACTTTAAAATTGAAGCGTGATCAGGATGAGAAAATAAGAATGGCCTACTTCATTTTTTAAAAAAAAATTCCCATCCCTTAATTTCAACAGCCTTGATTTTCAAACCCTTGGAACCATGATAGAGATTGGTTGAGTAAATAATTTATTTTAACAATAATAGCCAACAAAGAAAAATGATACACATATAATGGCCATATGACTAGCGTTAGAGATATGCTGTGGCCTAGTAATCTTGTGAGCAAACACACAGGTAACTTGACTAGCTGTTTGTTTGTTTGCTTGAAGCTAGGATACCGTGGTGGGGGTGCAGAACCGTAAGAGAGATGAAGTCACATGGGAGGACCTAATTAGATCGCATTTGTTGGGCGTAGGGGCAACAGGGGTCCCTTTCTATTTAACATGTTGTACTGTTCCTGTAACGCCACCGTTTGGGACTACCTGTGCCGCTTTCAACCAACCTTTTGCCCCCCCCTCCCCTCTTTTCAGTGGTAAATTGTTGTCTATCTTTTGAAACTCCTGTAGTCATTCTACTTTTAAACAGCCAATGTAATTCTAATTTTTCAGGGTATCAGTGGCTCTTCTAAAAAACACTTTCAAAGCCAAAAAAAAAAAATCCATTTTAATCCTTGAACATTAGCTTCCAGATATGTTGAAGAAATGCTAGTGAGATGGCTACGTGAAATACAATAACAAACGGACCTTCTATTACCCCAAAAAAAAACAAAAGAAAAGAAAAGAAAAGAAAAACTGACCTTCTAAATCCATTGGCCAGCCACCAAAGAAAAATTGACATGAGACATATAGCATCTCCATTGTATTATTTTTATTAGTATTATTATTCACTGATCATTATCGTTTTATATTTTTGGAAGAATGACAAAAGAAATCTTATAAAGATTAATTAATTTAAGTTAGATTTCAAGTTTCAAACTTTAAAAATTTACAATTCAATCTCTCAATTTTATAACTTTATTATGATGAATTTACATCTTTTTTTTAAATTTTAACATAATTGAAGAATAAAAAAAATTATTTTTATATTAAATTTTGAAATGCAAGTTATAAATTTAACATTTGGGACCTAAATTAAATTAATTGGTACTTTTAAAACTTTTCTGTCATTCTCCTTATATATTTTTTTTTTACTAAAAAGTTTCAAAATATTTTATATATACATATATATTATGTCTTTAAAATTTCATATTTTTTACGTGCAAAATGGATTCTAAAATTCAAAACCAGATTTTACTTAAAATTATTTCAGTAAAATAGACCAATACCTGCAATTCATAACTAATTGGACAAATGATTGAGGTGCGAGTAAAAATCATGTTAGAAGGGTGGCAATAGTCTGAATTATTCGTGGCAGCTGGTTAAAAAAAAAAAAAACAGAGAGAATTATTTATGGCCATCTGTATTAGTTTCTTTAAATCACTCATTAGATGATTTCTCATACTTTCTAGTATAAATTAATTTTATAAAGTGATAATGTAGGATAAATTAATCTTTAATTAGCTACAATAATCACAGTTAATTGACTTTCCAATTTCCATCAAGCACCGCTCAAGTAATTTGAGGAAGGGGAACATGCAAGCACTTAGTTTTAAGGAAGAATTTCATTAAATTTTTTTGCATGTGATCTAATTTCAATCAGGTCCTAAAAAATTCTGAAATTTCGCTGATTGAAATGAAATAAATTGTCTAACTTGAATGACCAAAATGCCATTCCATTATAATTAGAATTATTGGTATAACAAATCAACTTATAATTTTTATATGTAATATTAGCAAAACAATAAGTCAAGTTATAGATTTTACCAATAATATTAATAAAATAAATGTAATTTGTTATTCTAATAACATGACTTGTAAAAATCGTAACTTAATTTATTATTTTAATAATATTGCTTATAAAAATCATAATTTAACTTGTCATTATAGCAATATTATTTGTAAAAATTGTAGCTTGCTTTGTTATTTTACTATTATTATTTCTAAAAATTATAATTTAACTCATTATTTTAATTATATTACTTATAAAAAGCATAACTTAACTTATTATTATAATAATGTTCTTTGTAAAAACTGTAATTTAACTTATTATTCTAATAATATTACTCATAAAAATTATAATTTAACTTATTATTTTAGTAATGTTAATTATAATTGAAGAGCATTTTGATCATTCAAGCAAAAAAATTTATTTCGTTTCAATGTTCCAGGCTTGTAGTGAAATTTTAAAAAAAATTAGGACCTAGTTGAAATTATGTTATATCCAAGGGACTTTAATAAAATTCTCCTTGGCTGTAATGTTTTTATGTATTTAACATGCATTGGCCTCAAATATATAAGTTGAAGTATTTAAGTAGGAATTCAACAATAATTATATAGTTGATAGTGGTTTTTTAATGTATAAAAATATCAGAAACTCTTGCATGAACACCTCATCTCATACATGATTCATCCAATAAAATTGCACAAGTTTAATTAAAAAAGATTTTATGTGCTATTGTTTTTGATCACTTTCTTTGAAATAAAGTATCTTTTTAATTTCTCATATTTCCTATGTCTACCATCATTGTAAATAATTTAAAGTGATATAAATGAAAGATAAGATATAAGATTAAATGAACTTGACACATTTTTTTATTTGATAGTATACAAATGACTTGGTACATTGAGTCCATACAAAATTTTTTCTAAAATACACTTTCTTTTATGCTAATTTTTTTCTAAAATACACTTTCTTTTATGCTTTTATTTGACAAAACCACTAGTTAGCAATTCTCCTAGTTACTAAAAGGATCTTACCATATCTTGCACGCAGGCTTATTGAAAAAGGGAAAAACGACAAGGAAGGACTCTATAAAAAAATCAAAGTGAAATTAAATTTTTTTCATAATTAAAGTTTTTAAATTTAATATTTCTTCTTCCATATCTCAATGTTAAAATTCTTGATTTAATATTAATTTTCTTTTGAGGTGCTCACTTGTCATTTTCCCTATTTTCCAGGAAGCCTTCCCCAATTTCTTCGTTCGCACTCCACAAAAATTGGAAACTCTAAATTCAAATTCAAATGCAGTGACATATGCGAACCGATAGTTCCACATTATTTTCACAATTCCTTTCGGGTCCTACATGCATTAATTTTTTTTTATTAAATGACAATGACGTCATTTTCTCCCAAAATAAATCGATCGCCCAATTTTGAAAAAAAATATCATTTACACATTAACTGCCCAGATTTTTTCCATAGAAATATTAACCCTGGTCTTAAATAAAATTATATAGAAAATATTCGAATAAAAAATTTCCAAATAGAATTTGCTGGGGGTTTGGTGAGCTGGAGTAAGACGACAAAGCGGGTGACGTGCAAACATTAAGACGCATCAGATTTAAGACAATTGTGGGGAGGACGATTATCGAAATCAATAATAGCAGCTATTAACCTGTCAAAGTTAATTTTTGCCCTAAAAAATTATTATATTCATAACAAAAATAATATCTCCACATTAAAAAATAAAATATATTTTTAATTAAATTTTATTTTCAATAAAGTAGTTATTTGTTTTTAAATTAATATTATTTTTTTATTTATCTCTATATAATAGAGTATTTCACTTTAAAATAAATATAAAATAATTATTTAATAAATTTTTTTTTTAAAAAAGTACAATAATCATACTTTAAAATGTTAAAAATATTTTACATTTTTAAAAAATTAATTATTAAAAAATGTTTTGTATTTTTAAATGAAATAAATAAATTATATATTTATTTTTAAGATATTTAGATTTTCCTATTTTTTTTAATGTGGTTTTTTTCCCCTACAACACGGAGGAGGGGAAGCTGTTGGCTGAATGGAGTTGTTCGGATGTTTGTTTTGGAAGATATTTTGTATTTGTTTGTGGTGGCGGTAAACGACAGTGTAAAACTTCGAGGGATAAAAAAAGTGAAGAAGGGACATGAATTGATTTTATTTTACAAGCGTGAAGCATGAGGGTGATTGGTTTTCTTTCAATCTAGAAAGAAGCTCATGATCTGGTGACAGAGAGAACCAGTGACCCACATTGCTCATTAGGTCTCTTGTTGATTGAATATCTCTCTCGCCACGCACCCTCATTGGAGCGTGCTTCATACTTGATGCTCTTATTCACCATTTTTACTTCTTATTCGTTGTTCTCATCTTGTTTTGATTTCAAGCTCTCTTCATTTTCTTTGACTTCCCTCTATCTTTATCTGTTTTCCTTCAATCTAATACATGGCTTTAGATTAGAGAGTTTCTTGTGAGTTTTTTCCCCCACAGCTCTGCATATGCAAAAGAAGCCAACGCAGGTACAATAAAATCAGACCAGAGAGAGAGAGAGAGAGATACAGCCTTAAAAGCTCGCTTTTACTACTGAGCTACAAAAGTGAACTCCCTCCATCTGTTTGTTGTTTTGTGCCTTAGGTTCTCCCCCCTTCCATTTTCTCTTTTGCTTTTCAAGTGTAGGTCATTGATTGTATGTTTTCTGGATTTTGAGCCTTCTCCCATCTTCTTTCCTTGAATTTTTTTTTTTGTCTAACCTTTCTGGCTAAAGCAAACTCTTAGAGAATTTGATGTCTGGGTTGTATAATCAAATTTCCTCACCTGCACCTGTAAGGGCCAATTCACCAAACATAAACGTGAGAAGCAGTTTTGATGTTGAAAGGTAGGGGACGATTGTTCTGATGTATATGATAAAACTTGTGAATTTTTTCAATGATCTGCGGGTGCACATATCATAAGTATGGTGTTTCAGAGCTAAATCCAAAACATAGCCTTAGTTCCTTATTTGCTTTTCTTCTAGTCAGTACTTAGCGGAGCTGCTGGCAGAACACCAGAAGCTTACACCTTTCATGGAAGTCCTTCCTCTATGCAGTCGACTCCTGAATCAAGGTCGGTTTATTTCATATTTTCAAGGACTATATTTGTGTTTTGATTTCCATGCTTTTCTTTTTAGTGTTTCTATTGATATCACCTCTCATTTGATTTGAAGAAGGCCTAGTTATAAATTCAATTTTCGGTTTACTTAGACTAGTTTCTCAAGTTATTCTTCTCGTGGGGATTATTGTCTTCTTTAAAATGCTGTGTCATGTCCATTTACTTCATCTAAACTTCCTTTAAGGATCGTACTGACACTCGTAAAATAAAGACAACTCCTATAGGTCCAAAAATCAGCACCTGTTGATCAATTCCCGAAAAGGAAGCATCTTAGACTGATAATTCTGGACATTATTCGATTAACAAGTAATGCCTATACATGTGTGTTTCTTTTAAAATACATACATGATAGCTCTGGATTTGATTGACGCCTGCTACAATCTGCTTATAGCACATCATCCTCTCTTTGGGAAAACAAATTATTTGGCTTCTTTTGACTGGCCTGACGATGGAACATTTAGAAAGCATTTTTGCAACTTACATCAGTATAATAATTCATTCATGTTATTGATGCTCTTGCATTTATATAAAAGTTCTAACATTCAATATTTCTTCAATCAGAGATTTTAAGGGTTTCTGGAAAGAACGGACTGATGCTGAACCAAGGGTTTAGTGACTTCGATAGAATGCAGTTCGGAAGTCCTAGTCTTATGGCTTCACCAGATATAATACCAAATTTCACTGGCTGGAACAGCCTATCACATGATGTAAGAATATCATATTTCGTAGTGGCAAAGTTGCATTTCGTTTTTGAACATTTATTTTAAGCAATATCTGCAAGTCTGTTTGATGTTTTATAACTCTCTGTTCCTACTAATTGGCTCATATTTGTTAAATATACTGTTTCTCTTCTACTGTTTCACCCTTTGTCTTCCATCTTTCATCTGTTTACCCTTTTGTCTCCAATGACTGTTCTTCAGTTTAGCTTGTTTCATTTACTAACGGATTAAGTTAATCATACATCAGAGGTTTGCTGGAGCACAGGGATTGAACGTGGATTGGCAAACAGCACCAATTGTCCCGAGTTCTCCCATTGTGAAGAGGATATTGCGCTTGGATATTCCTAAGGATGCCTATCCAAATGTAACACATGTAGACACTTGAATGCATTTTACTATGTTCACGCCATGACTTTCTATATTTCATCTGCTGCTTTGTAAACATATTTTCTATCAACTTAAAGTCACTAAAGCCAGTTAAATTACCAGTTCAATTTTGTTGGCCGCCTTCTTGGCCCCCGAGGTAATTCACTGAAGCGGGTAGAGGCTACAACGGGTTGTCGTGTTTTTATCAGAGGGAAAGGCTCAATAAAAGACCCAGACAAGGTATCCTTTCTTTCTATGCCATGAAACTACATTAGTTCCCTTTTTAAATTCTTGCCCCAGTTTTTGTAGGTTCCAAACCTGTTTTGTTTCGTAAATGTTAACCCCTCTCTTCCTTTTAACTCTCAAGGAGGAGTTGCTAAGGGGAAGGCCAGGCTATGAGCACCTGAATGATCCTCTGCACATTTTGATTGAGGCTGAACTGCCTGCCAACATCCTTGATATTAGGCTGAGGCAAGCACAGGAAATCATAGAAGAGCTGCTGAAACCTGTGGTATATTTCTTTAACTCTTTGCTGAGTTCATGATTTACTCCTTATAAGGTATTTTGCATAGTATTTTAATCACATTCCTCCGTGAAAAATGCCCTCTTCTGTATCATCTGCGTGCTAAGTAATGTTGTATATACTATATAGCATTTACTTAGCTGTAGCAGTGTTCTTGATGTCCCTTACAGTGATGGTATTTTGGCGGTTTCTTTATGAATGTCAGATTACCTACATTACTTACTTCTCCGGTTCTCGCCACTTGCTGGTGATTTCTGTTGCATCTTTACTATTATGTTCTTGCCCCTCAATACCACTTTCGAGTTTCGACAACCAATCCACTAGTTGTTAGGGATTATGTTAACACTATTTATGATCTCCATTCAGACAACTTGAGCAAGTGAGTTGAATTGATTCAGCACAAGCTATTGGGAGACTGTGCTTGCCCAAACGTAGAAGTCTGAGAGGTCACTGATGAGCTTCTTGCAAGGGGATGTTTTATATATTATAATAAAACTATTAATGGCCTTTTCATTTAACAGTATAAACTTTTTGATTTGCATGGATATTTCTGCTTTTTTTGGTATAAATTCATGGTTGCGTCGAAGAGAAAAGATGGTTTCCTTTGAAGCCAAATGTTAAAATAAACAACCGGAGTTTGCATAGACTTTTTTAAGAATATTCTCTTTCCATATGCAGGATGAGTCACAAGACTTTTACAAGAGGCAACAACTAAGAGAACTTGCAATGCTTAATTCCAACTTCAGAGAAGAGAGCCCTCAACTGAGTGGTAGTGTCTCTCCCTTCACTTCCAATGAAATAAAAAGGGCCAAAACTGATCAATAGTGGCTTTCTGCTGAGAATCACAGACGTTTATGTTTTCTCCTTTATCCAAGTTCTGTATAGCCGCTTGACAAGAAGACCTTACCGAAAAGATCCTGTTTAGGAGAATGCATATTTATTGTCACAATCAACTGCATAAGTGCGCTTGAAAAACTGGTACAATTCTTATCATACTATATGTAGAAATATGGGTCAGTTGGGATGTTATGAACAGTCTAGTAAGCTCATCTTATTGTTATAAACTGTTTATTGATTGTATTGAAATGAAGTGTTTCATATCAGATGTCTACTTTACTGAGCACAATAACTAGAGCACTTTGGTGAGCTTGGCCTCTTCTGTGAGGCAAAAGAATAATTAGCCAGAGGTGCACCAAGATTAGCAAACCCTTTTTGAAGCAAAAGGGCATATCTTAAGGATAATGTCTATATATGGTAGGGCCCATGAATCGAAGGCAAGATGTGGATGTTCTTGTCTTTAACTTTAATGAGACTAGATAATCCTCTTCTGCTTTGACTTGTTAATGATTGTCTTTGTAAAGTGGGGTTATTCTAGATTTCTAGTGTCCATCATGGGCCATTCTGTTTTCATCAGCTTCTCCATCCCTATCCAAGCCAAACCCCCCTTTTACCCTTCAGAGTGTTGAGCTCCAAGCGTGCTTTGATGGAATTTAACTTTATTTGGGAGAGTTTCAAGGCTGAATGGATCTGTTATTTTCATTGATGCTTTGCACGGAATCTTTCTTCGCACCTTTCGCTTCTTGTTTCTATTACACACACACACACACACACACACACACATTGCATGGTTAATAAATGATTCAATTCGGTCTTAATTGATTGGAATTTGGCATCTAAAATTGGTATATTCTATTTTGGCCACAAAAGAAAAACAGAATGGTATATGCTATATGTTTTTTCAGCTTTTAACTTTCACAGTCCATCTGCTTACTGGTCAATTCCGTGCTTTAATGATTTAATCGAATGCAGATCCATATGCATGGATTTGGAGTGTGAACGGGAGGCTTCCGTGAGAACTCAGATGTCCCTTGCTGATCGCCCAACGTTAAAATAACGAGTAAAATTGGTTATATTCAGAAGTGTTAAAATTACGCTTTTTTGCAAATCAAAATATGTGCACGCACACGTGTGTAAAAAAGTTGCATCATAATCCAATCCAATCACATTTTACATTGAGTTTTTATTTTTTTTTAAAAAACTGAAATTAGAATACAGTGTATCATCGCATTGCAAATCTGCCGAGCCAAAAAAATCTTGACAAGAAATTATCTGATAAAAAATCCTTTTGATTATTTTCGAATGCCAATTTGTGATGCGCCACGTGAGTGCTTATTGGTAACAAGGAGATGAAGTCCCTTTTAACAAGGAAATAAGGATAATTTAATTTGCCCTTCCTACCTTAAAGGAGGTCAGCCTCTACTATTGGTGGAAAATATTCTTATCTCACACAACAATAATAGAGAGATAGAGGCGATAATTTAATTTTACTCTAAAATTTATTTTTTAATTTAATCAAGTAATGTTATTATCGAGGAAAAAAAATCACGTAACATCATATATATCAGTATAAAATTTGTTTAACCATCACATCACTGTGTAAAATTAAAATTTAAATGCATCCCAAATATATGAATATAACAGGTTATGGAGATGAATGATGTGTACGATCATTTTTTTAATGGGATAATTATTTTTTTATCAGCCGGATAACTATTTTTTAATAGACGGTAAGGATTAAAAATCAGGGAATAAAATGAAAGCCCATAAGTGGCGGTACAGAACTCGAGCATCCGAAAGCCCAGTTCCCAACAGGGCTTTCAGAGACGAATTTGTACCAATCACCAATTCTCATTTCTTTGTTTTCGTCTCGATCTCAGCAATTCAATTTTTATCGGAGCGAGCAGAGGTTTACAATCGGAATTTGGAAGGAGGACGAGATGGGAAAGCAACCGGTGAGGTTGAAGGCCGTAATCTATACCCTATCGCCTTTCCAGCAGAAGGTAATGACTGGGCTTTGGAAGGATCTACCCACCAAAATTCACCACAAGATCTCTGAGAATTGGATCAGCGCCACTCTCTTGCTATGTCCTCTCGTCGGCACCTACTCGTGAGTTTATTGTTTTTCTTCGATTCCTCTTTTCGTGTTTGTTGATTACATGTAATGGTCAATTTGCTTTTTAATTGGTGATGATGATTTGATTTGACGTAATCGGGCTAATTATGGAATTCTGTACTAGAAATTGTACTTGTTGGGATTGTTGGAACCCTGCTGTTAAGAACAGGTAGGATTCATATGGCTTATGCCTACATTGTTTGAAGAAGGGCAAGAGAACCAAAATTTTAAGAACAATGAGGGTCCAGAATGGCAGAATCTATCGATCATTGAACATTCTGGTGATAGTTTTTTAAGTTTTTTCACAAAAGTTTCGAGTTATGTGTGTCATCCGGGTTATGACTTATTAGTTAATTAGTTAATAGCATCATATTTGTAAGAAATCCTCTTGATACAGTGCTAATGGTGGCAGTCCTTATCCAACGAGGAATTCCAGGGGCACTTCTACAAATGGGCAAAATAATCCTCCTTTTGTTTTTTTTCCCCAATTTCCTAAATAAAAACCTTCACCTCTTGCATTCACGACTTATTTCGAGTTATAAATTTCTTTTTCTTAATTTTGGGGAAAATCTAATTAGCATATATTTTCTGTGGCCTTGTGGACCTTAGGTCACATTGCTCCTGCTGGATAAGATATCCTCAGCATTACTAAATGTGTAACCGAATGACGCTACACAGAACTGGGAAGGAAGCGTGAATCAAGATTAATGGGGGGGAAAATCTATGAGTTTTGTGAATCGTAACTCAAATAGCTAAATGTATATATATTTGCAAAATCCATAATTTCATTCTGGAAGAAGAAAAATAATGTTAATGAAATCCTAGCGAACAACAGGTGTTGCTATGTGGACCACTGATCAGACTTCAGAGCAGAGATCTCGGAATCGCTCTCTAATAAAGATAATGAACAACTGATGGAACCCAAGGATTGTAATTGCTGCACTTGCTTCTCAAAGGAGCTCTTGACGTTTGGTAAAACCTTCTGAAACAAGTCTACTTGTTTCTGGATGTGAATTGATTAGAATTTAGAAAGGACAAGCAAGCTGAGTAATTATGGATTCACCCCCCCCCCCAAAGTATTTGGGGATATTATGATTAATTATAGTTTCATTTTTTTTTTCCCTTGTTATATGGAGACCAAATGAATATGAATATATAAAAGCTTAAATGAACTTAGCAGAGTGTGAATATAATTCATCTCTCAATGGATGTAGGTATGTTCAGCACTACCAGGAGAAAGAGAAGCTTGCTCACAGGTACTGATATCATGCGAGACAGCATGAGTTTATTTGGATGATCATTTATTGTGGTGAAAGCACATTTGCCCATTTCTTGTTCCACCGGCTAATAATATGTTGTTTGTTTGGATGTTGATGCAATGTCAATGTTATGACTTTGAGCCGTTTTAACTTTGATAGACCTTACCAACTAGTGAGATTGGTGACACAGGCCTTTTAAGTAAAACTTTCTAATCAATTCATAATAAATATCTAGGTAGCAGCGCAATTAGTTCGGCGAAATTGCAACATTTGCATGTAAAAGCTACACTTTATTCGGCAAGCTCAACTGCTTCGAAGACTTCTATCTGAACTCATGGTTGGGTAATTGCAGAAGCCCCATAACTGTGTAAAGTATAAACCATAATTACAAGCAATGCAACTAATTGCATGTTTGGATTAGACAAATAATCGATTTTTTGGGCCAAATAATTGATTTGATTGAAAATTGCCCAAACAGTTAAAAATCTCACAGTCAATTATTTTAACCCAAATCATGTTTTGACTAAAGCTGATGGGAGTAGCTTTTGAATTACAATTCTACTGTTCTATGTATTTATCACTTGTTAAATATTTCACTTTCCAAATATACCCCTTAATTAATGCATATATTTTAGTGTTCTTCTTTCACCTCCCGTCTGATACTACTCTCACCTTAATTAATGCATATGGTTCCCCTGATTAAATGTGTACCATGGATTTTGGCTTGTCCTAGTGTTGGAGCGAGATGGATGACCTATTCTTGTTTGATGCTCTCATTTTTGGTACAGACATTAAACTATTAATGTTAATATAATTTAAATCTCCGTAATTAATTAGGTATATAAGTTAAATAATATATTTTACTTATTAAATAAAATTAAAAAATTTAATAATATATACACAGCTTTATTAATATTTTAAGTTTCAAAAATAATGTTCTTGATGATAATTTGTACATATAAAATTGATTCTAATTAAATCATTTAAATATATTTAATTTTATTAAAATTATTTTTTTAAAATAATATCTAAATATGAACAAGTTATAAATTATAATATAATTAATTATAATTAAAATTAATTATACTAATTAATTTTTTAATAATTAATTATACTCAATTAAAATTCAATTAGACCCTAAATTTCATCAACTACGTCAAATTAAAGTATAATAGGTGACCCTAAAAATCTTATACAAAAGCACACCTGGCTATTGTTCTACAGATATATTTTACAAAGGGCTTCCTGAGAAAGAATGTGAATAAAGGGATGAAAAGAGGGTAATATGTTGTCATTGTTCCACGCACAAGGTCGAGAAGCTCAATTTACACAGCATGAATGCTGGTGGTGTCTTTTCCCCACTTCAACTTCTACCTTGGCCTGATGGTTGGCTCTACTCCACTAACAAGTCCGCTACCAGACATATCCCCCGATATAAAAGGAGTTCTGGTAACAGAAGACGAAGATGCTGAACTGAATAATTTTCCAGAATCACTGGATATATATTCAGGTATCTTGGCATTGGACTCGGGCATCATGGACCACATGTTTTCAAGCTCTCGAACCACTTCTGCCATTTTAGGTCGCGCATCTGGCTCGTCTTGGCTACACTTGAGGGCCAGTTTCAAGAACTTCTCCAGCTGCTCAGAAGGATACGACCCCACACGTCTGTCGATAACCGAGAATACCTCCCCAGACTGGTATGCAACAGTAACCTGAAAATCATGATTAGCGTCAAACACCTCATTACATTCATATCTTGAACTTATGAAACGATCAAGAACGCTGCTGTCACATAGGAATAAATTTAGTTTGATAAAAATTGTACTATTTTCCTCAACAAAGCCTGGAGTAAAAGTGAAGGCTAACAAGACGATTGTTGGATGCCACCACTGTGACAGTTGTATCAATTCAATGTCCACAAATAAAAGGAAATAGAATGATGATACAGATATATGTGCCAATAAAGCTCAATCGGCAAAAAAATAAGTCCAGATCAGGGTTGACTCATACACATAGCAGACAGCGAAATTAAGTCCGGATGTGATTTATACCTCTCTAACAAGATTTTTGCCATGTGAGATCGGTGGCTTCCCTGTCAAAAGTTCGAGAAGAACAACACCAAAACTATAGACATCACTCTTGTCAGTCAACTTATGAGTTAGAAAGTACTCTGGATCAAGGTAGCCCTACAAAATTAAAAATGCGAAGAAATAGCGTTAACCTCGCTTCTATGCAGAGTGCTAGTATGTAAGGATACGGCTACAGCATAATATCAACACATTTTGACTAGGGCTGCCGTCCCAGTGCTGATGTTTAATTAAAAAAGGCAACTACCTTTAGAGACGAGGAAATGATAACATTATAATAAGAGTTTATTTTTCAAATAATATTAAACCATAAGTCTTTTGAAATATATGAAAATATCCAAATGAGATAGCTTCCTTGAAGAAGGATGGAATAAATATCCATAAATTGTTGCTTCTATTTTTCCTATTAATGCTGCATCTGTGTTAAATAAACAGATTTAAAAGCCAAAAAAAAAAAATCAATATTGATGGTAAGCCTTGGTCTAGAGTCCTACACTTAATCTTTCAATACCGTTACAGTCCAAGTTCTACCCATATTTTGGCAGGCATAAATGGCATTATTAGAAATTAAAAAAAAAAAGTCGACAACAAAATCTCAACCCTTCAAGCAGCCATGTGCTAAAAAATTGATTTGAGTTCCTAATTGCATTAATGAACAATTATTTATTTAGATCAGTAGGAGGATGTCTTATCCTGATGATAAAACCGCTGATCTTATCCTTAATACATTTCCACATGCATGCAATTTTAGCTAAGGTACAGTGATGAACTTACCGGGGTTCCCTTTACCACTGTAGATACATGACCAGGCACAATTCCTTCAGTATCTGGAACTGGAGCGAGACGTGAAAGTCCAAAATCAGCAACTTTTGCATTGAGCCTGGAGTCCAATAGTATGTTGCTGGCCTTGACATCTCGGTGGAATATTGGAGGATCAGCTTCCGTATGCAGGTACAGGATGCCTTTAGCTGACCCTAGTGCAATCCTCAATCTCATATCAAAACTCAGAGGTTCTTTAGAATTAGCTGTTGTAAAGACATGAAATACACGCATAAAAAAAATGCACTAGTTGTAAAATAAATTAAATTTACCAAAATCTCTTGGCACATCAAATATTGGAACAACAATGGGCGGGAAAAACTGAAAGTTTTTGTTGTTTCATAACATAGTTATCACATCAGTAAAATGCAATGAATTATAAACATCAAGATCAAAAAACATGCGGCAAATTTTGGTAGTCAGAACAAGAGATGTACCAGAAAGATGATCCCTTAGTGTGCCATTTGGCATAAATTCATAAACCAGCATCTGCAAGTATAAGCAACAGCTCAAATGAGGAAAAAATCCGAAACAGCCAAAGAAAGAAAGAAAAGAAGATTAATATGAGCAAACAAGACCTAGGCAGAAAGGAAATTAATACAAAAATGAGGACTTGGATTCTAGACACTTCTGAAGTTCTATTTTGTATCTAAATATTAAGTGGCCCTTGTTTCATTAATTCAATAATGCGTTTGACACCCTTTTTTCTATGCATTTATGCCGGGCAAGCTGCCTATAACCTTTAACATCGTCTAATGTTTAAACTAGTTGATCTAAATCAGCATCCTTTTTAAGTAAAATCACTTCCTCATGCAATCAACATGTGGGAACTATGCTCACGAAACTCACAGATATTAGAACTTCCAATGATGAAATTGATAATACAAAGATCAGTGCAAAACGTAATAAAATTATAATCTAGAGATCGTCAATTTTCATAGATTTAAAACAAAACGCACCTGTTCACCTCCTTCATCACAGTATCCAACCAAAGTCACGAGGTTGCGATGATGCAACCTTGATAGTAACTCTATTTCTGTTAGGAACTCCCTCTCACCTTGCAGTGATCCCACCTGTGCACGTTTTATTGCTACAACAGTGCCATCAGAGAGAATACCTTTATAAACTTTACCATAGCCCCCTTGGCCAGCTTGAGCGGAGTCACTAAAATTGTTAGTAGCCAAGGCCATTTCTTCATAAGTGAAGCTCCGCACACCATCAATTTTTATTGATATCCTAGAAACTGTGGATAAACAGAAGCCTACGTCAAGACTCGAAAGATATTGTCAACTCATATTTGACAGTTTATCGGACATGGTTTACATAAGTGACTTCACAGTTCATTATTTTGTCATGTTTCAGCAGCCATGTAAAAAGTAGAAACAGAGAAAAATAGTGAAGCAAATTGAAACTTCTGCTTCTTTGAAACCTATATCAAAGTTTTGCTATCTTACAAGTGCATTGCTCATCTAACTTCACTAATGTATGTTTGATCAAGACACAAATGAAAAAAAAAATCAATTTTGATTTGTAATGTTGCCATTTTATTTGCTATATCAATCAGACCAAGATTTAAAGGAAAACATTACAAGATGGAAAAACCAGGAGGGGTGTTAAAAATCCAAAAATTCTATTGATCCTGAAATCCAATCAAGCTTTTAACCCTAATTCAAACTGCGGCATGTTAATTATCAGAAATACTTGTGTGTAACACAAGAGGACAAAGCAGTAGAAATCATAAGTTTTAATTGGATTAACGCGTTGGCCCATAATCATCACTATCTATCCCCATCTGTCCTTGAGTCTCCTTGTTTATGTTTTCCTTGATTCTTTCATTCTTTCTTTTATAGTGCGTTCGGTTGGAAGGATTTGGACTCTCATCCCCTTCTTTGGTTAAATAAAATTGAAAGGAGGTGCTCCCCTCCCTTCTATAAAACTCCTCACCTCCTCTTCCCTTCCCTTCATTGAACCAGACACTGTGATAAGGACTATGTATGTATAATTGTAATCAAAACCGTCAGAAGGATAAAAAAGTTTGATATCTCTTCTGTTTTCCCTGCTTCTTCTGCTTTTCTGGTACGTTAACACAGTGATGTTTGCCTCAGGTTTTCAAGGTATCAGAGACAAGGTCTGATCAAGGGAGCCTTAAACTCATGGCACAGTGTTTTTATGGCCTGGGTTGGGTAACACCGCTTATTGCCTTTAACTCCTCCATTCGATCATTAAGAATACAAAGCAATGAGCAATGATAGTTACAGAAAGCATTTGAGACAGTCTACCACTGGGTATTATACCAAGGTAAAAAGGAAAATCTGTCACTTAGAATTGAAAGAAACAGACAGTTTTTGTCCAAACTCCGAAGGCTTTACTTGAGTTAATTTCAATTTGAGACTTTGTTCCACGACAAAACATAGAAATAAAGACAAGAAGAAGAAAGAGTCTTAGTTGCTTCGCTTCTAATGAAACTGTTCTGTGACAAGGTTATGTAATTGTTTATTCTTAATCTCTATGAAATTAGATGCTCCTGCTTCACTTTGAAAGACAATTAAAGAAAAATAGATCTTAAATATGATTTCGACAAAGTAAAAACTTGCATTAAGCTATTAACATCAACAATTATTTATCACTGTGACCTAGCACTTGGGACAAGTCAAAGAGCAAAATAGTAAACATAGCTTGTTTATGAGGTACTCACATTGTCGCTTTGATGAAAGTGCACTGTAATCTCTCATCCGTGCCCTCATGATAAGAAGAGTCACAATTGCAGATACCGTAACTGCACCGGCAATTGTACCTAAGATTATGCCAGCCAGAGCACCCTTGCTTATCCCTGAGCTTGTAGTGGGGCCAATCAACACTATGACCATGATGAACAGTATGAGAATTATCATATAGTAATATTCATACATGGATGAGTACAGCAGATACTATGGAACATGTCTTCATCGATGGGCTTAAAGACGTTAGGTATTTCATTTAAATGGAAGCTCTGCTTCCAGAAATTGCCACAGCAAAGTTATTACGCTTTTCTCAGAGTGTTTTTACAAGCATTAGAATGAAAAATAAAATAAAATATGCTTCGAGAAACAATCAAATAGATGCCTTTCAGCCAGAATATCACTAATAGGCAAAAGTCAGACAAAGCTGACCTTTACTCAGCTACAGAGCAATATACAACAACTGGCAAGGGAGTTAAGCAAAAACTTATACTTGCGACTTGCGAGCATAGGTTAGGTTAGAGAAAGCTAAATTGCTTCAAGGAAGCTGGAGAATAAATTGCTCAGAAAACATCATTCGATCAATCAAATTAATATATATTAGACATGAACATCATTCTTTCAACCAGCTAAAAAAGTTTCAATCACATTTTTATAGTTAATAGGATGATGTATACATTAAATCCAAAAAGCAAGCATTCTGGCAGATCATAAGTAGTTTCTGAGACTCACTATCTTTATAAAGATCCAGAAGAGTGAAGTTGAGCAGCTCATAAGGTCCGAAAAATTCATTGTCTGAAACAACCCATCCTGAGAACATGTTATAAAGACGCAGAACCTCGCTTTCGTTGAAATTACGGGAGCTTGTGCTATCAATAGATTCCGGATAAAGCTTCAAGTACATTTTCAGTCGAAGTCCTTGCCATTCAGGGGTGCCAATATCAACCTGGTTATTCATTAAACTATAATTGGATGCCAGGAAGTTCTCAAAATCTGCCTGGTATGGATTAAAATCGTAAAATCCAGGACTTTTCAGTCGATAACCAATGAGCAAAGGCGCTGCACAGAAACACTTCACAGAAGATGTTTTGGAATATTCATAAGGAGGAGGGCATGCTTGAGGGGGACAGTTAGCACTGGAGTCCGTTGGACTCAAGTTGTTTGTTTCATTGGCACTTGCAGATCCACAGAGCTGAACTAGAGTGTTATTGGAACAAAGAGGATTCCCCTCGAGCCTGAAAATCAGCAAGGTTCATGTAGTCACATAACCAAGTTATGTGAGGGGGAATGTATGATTAATTTGATGTGAACAAATTTCAACCTTTAGTAAAAGGATATAACCCTTTAAAAAAATCCGTAACAAAGAGAATGAAGACAGAATTCTCCACTACCCAGATTTTGGCACTCAGAGCAAAACGACTTTAGAATCATACCTGACTGTGATGTTAGGACGAAGATCAATAGTGCTTGATATGCTTGTAAGATCATTATTTCGAAAATCCCTGCAATATCCAAGATCACAAAACCATGCTCAGTAAATCGAGAGTACCAAAGTCCGTATGTGAGAAAGATTCTGGAACTATCGTTTAAGAACATAGACATTCAATTAATTGTTTGAAAGTGACCTGCCATGGGGAATCATATGTGATAAAATGCCAATCTATTATCTTGTAACTGAGATAATCAGCAATATCAAAAAAAATAATCGCATCTTAGCTGAGAAATCCAACAATACACAATTTGCAAGTATGATAAGGTGGTAAGGAGTTTATTGCATTTTGCTTGTAAGAAGAAGACAACTTACAGTAGTTGAAGACTTGGGAGATCAGAGAAGTAGGATGGAATAGTTCCAGTTAGCTTGTTGTTTGACAAATCACTGCACAATTACTCAGACTTAAACATCAGAAGTATAGACTGTCAAGGTATCATAATATTCTTTAGATTTGCCACAACTTAAAATACCAGTAGACTAATCACGCTGGGAATCCAAATAATCGGATGCCTGATTAGTATATTATAGATGACACAGAATGATTGAAATTCTTACATGGTTGTGACTCTTTCAGAAAGTTTATTAGAAGGAATCGAACCATTCAATTGATTGGAACTGAGGTCACTGAAATTAAAAAAAAAAAATAGTAGTCAGTAGAAGAAATTACATACTGTATAGATTATCATTAAAAAATGTACAGCTAAATACTTACAGTCAAAAGTAATTTCTCTCAAAAAATAATTTGAGAATTCATCAGTTATAGACTGATTTGAGGCAGAATTAGATTAACTTACAGATAAAGAAGGTTTCGTATGCTGCTTAAATCAGGGATTGGTCCTTGCAAGTTGCAGTTCCTAAGGCTCCTGGAAGAAACAAGGAATATTGACGGTCAACCTGTCAACCTTGACATTTAACCTTTCAAATTAAGACTTCCTTTTTGTGATGAAAGTAGAAACTTATTATGAGAGGCATGGAGATGATCAAAAGGAAGAGGAAGCATCCTCCAGATTATTGACCTTAAAAACTCCATGTTTGAGTTTGGCATTACTCATATAGGTGTTCAGCCAATTTGTCTTGCACCTTACATGTGGTTTCCAGAAGCACTTTAACAATTCTACTTTTTGCCTTTTGCCCTTACATTCTCTTTTTCCTCCCACCATCACCCTCTTTTTAGCCTAACACTCTCTCTTTTGAATAATTATCGTTTTTACATGGAATTGTGTAAGCAATGACAAAGGTTTTAGCACCTTGACCTCAATCATTATATTTGGGAACCTACAAATGGACAACGGTTAAGAAAATGTACTTACAACTTCAACAATGTTGAAATGTTGCCATATGAATCTGGAATTGTAGTTCCACCAAAGTCATTGTTATCAAGTTGACTGCGAGAACAAGATTGAAGAAATAATTTAATTACTCTGATTATTCAACAAGTAAAGTTTATTAAATTAGCCAGTAATAAAAAACTACAAGAATTTTTACACTGGCAATGGTAGCAAACTTCATGAATTAGCATATGATAACTATGATATTGATATCTTTGGCAAGGAACCCACTCCTCTGTTTTCTACTACTGAACACTACTAAATCCTCTTCTCGACTCCACTCCTTGTTTTCAAACCATCAATAGCATTGCCAGTCGAACCACGACTACATAGCTCTTGCTTCCCACATTTTTTACAGTCAAAACAAGTCACAATTTTACGACATAACTGAGTACACTAATACACGTCTAGCATTTAACTGCAATAATTGTATTTAATCTTTAACGATTCAAATTTAGATCAATCTGAGTTATCTAAAATTTATTTTATCAAAAATCCAGATTATAAGAATGTTCGAAGGAAAATTATATTGCTAAAGGAGTTTAACACCAGGTGAAGAGAAGGAAAATGTGCCCAGCTTACAAGGAGTGAAGGTTACAATGTCAAAAACTGTTTTTACACACATTTAGGTAAGAAACGAGAAACCATACATTATGCGTATGCTTGGCATCTGGGAGAGCTCAAGTGGAAGATATCCTGATAATTTGTTATGGTCTAGAAGGCTGCAGATCCAAAGATACATATTGTGAACAAGATAAAGACATGACAATTAAGGATTAAACAAAAACCCACAAAATATGTTAGGGGCTTCAATTAAGTCACTGGCATCCAACAACAAACTTACAGGTGAGCAAGGCTTGTCAAGCGGGAAAACTCCGGAGGTATTTGTCCAGTAAGTGAGTTATTGTTCATGTGACTGCTCCATTTCGTGAGGGCAGAGAGAGATAAAAACACTAATTTACTTGCCTTACTTTTATAAGAATAACAAAGGCGAATGAATTCAAAAACAAAACTCAGATAAAATCACAAAAGCGGTCATTCTTAACTGTGTTTTTACGATAAAGAACTCACAAGTGCCTTGTCGTGGTTAGGTTTGCAAACGATGGAGGAATAGGTCCTGTTATATTGTTCTGATCAATTTGAAATCTATTAAGATTTGGAAGATAACCAAGCTCTGCGGGCAGCTGACCTACTAATTTGTTTCCATTCAGAAGCCTACAAAATAGTACATTGAATATGATAAGCAAAGTAGCTATGATGTTCCCTAGATGATAAAATCCTTGTACATTTAGAATTATGCCAGTAATTCAATTATTTTCCTCAGTGAACAAGTATTGGAATTTAATTTGCTTAAAATACACATAGGTTCTGTCGTAAGAAAATAACTAGTTATTTAACAATATATTGCTGCATAACATGCTGCTCAAAAGGGAAGGTTCAACTTACAAGAGTACCAAACTTTTGATATTGCCAATTTCCTTTGGTATACTCCCACTTATGTTGTTCCACATAAAGTCCCTTTCAAGAATTAAAAGAAAAACATGTATCACAGTATCAGCGGAGGAAGGAAAGTATGAGCCCCCAAAGGGTCATAATATCTAAATTGTAAAAGCGGCAGATAGGAATTGCAAATTGATAACTGTTCACACAGGAGGGGAGCCAGAAAATTTTGTTAGAAAGGCCAAAATGACAAAGCATATATGATAATAAAAAAAATATCTACATATATCACTAACATAACATAAATATTTCAACATATATATTTACATTCAATTTTACACACACACATATAACAAAAATAAATATATATCTTCATTTTTTAAGTTTTGCTCTTTAAATTTTTATGACATAAAAATAATTAATTATCATATTTATGATAAATTTTTCAAAAATTTCTTTCTTGATATAAATTATCATTGAATTGGTGAAGATTTCATCTTTCCTACAAGCATTGAATAATTTAAATGTATCATTGAGATCTAAAGTTCTGTTTAATCTAAAAAACTTCATTACTTACTTATTGAATTTACTATTTAATTATTTCAATTGATATGTTCTTTATTCAATATATCTTGAAATTTTTGCCACCGTACTTTATAAAGTTTATTAGTAATAATTCTTATAATTTCTTTCCTCAAATATAAAATGAAAGCAGAATCAAATAATATCATTACTTTAAAAGCAACTGTAATATTATTTTGTTAAAAATAAATAGATCCTGTGACAACTCTATCTTTAAGCTACTATAACAATTGGACTATACATGCGTAAAAGACTACTATAGAATTAAAATGAGAACTCTATCTAATATTTTAAAGCTTTTATAGTGTGCCAACTTAAGGTGTTGAAAATATATAACCCTATATTTTACTAAGAAAGAAAAATTAAAAAGTTAGGAGGGTTCGTGGTTGCTGCTAATCCCCCTATCTCTACCCCTATATTCACATATGTAAAGAGATTGCATTCTATACATTAATGAAAATACAGTCTCACAAGATTTGCAGATAAGACAAGTTTCCAATCTCTGGTGCCAATGTTCCAGACAAGTTCAGATTCAGCAGTCGCCTACATAAAGATGAGAAAAACATAATAAATAGAGGAGGCAATACAAGGATAATTCTAAAACAAATGTGTGAAAATGACAATTAAAGATGTCTCTAAAGTTCAATTGTCTTGAGTGGAGGCTGGAGCTTTTAGTTTGTGTAGCTGCCTGGCTGGCAAACAAAAAGATCATTTTTCAAGATACTCAAATTCATCAATATAAGTTAAGAAAATCATCATACAGAAATTTGCACCGCGACCCAAAGCTCCCAAGTTAATGGATTTAATATCTATATCCGGAATTTCTATGGTGTAAATTATTGAGAATTTTTTTTTTTTTGGCGCACACCAACTATTGTGAATCTTATTTTCAGTTTCATAGATGAGAGGGATAAAGGAAACGAAGGAATAAAATCATACAGTTCTCTAACATGTAAATAGCCATCAGCCTGTGTACTGTTGAAGCAATGAACCCCGCTCCAGCTAGATGTACATGGATCTCCGCGATCCCAGTTGCTCAGATTTCCATTAGGATCAATCAAACTTCTCTTGATGGATTTCAATGCGTCAACTGCAAATCAATGCAAATGAAATCATCATACCACCAAGAGAACCAACAGACATTGTTTGCACATTGCAACGATCGTCTTTTCATCACGAAAACAAGTATACTTATTTTTGCCGTTATATCACTTGTACGTGGAGCTTGTGGTAAATAAATAATACATTTTTCAATAAATTCTTGGCACCAAAATCAATAATTGCTAGGATAAGTGATGAAATGCAAGAAGGATTTTAGCATCGACTATTCCAGGACAAAACTAGATATTCTAGATGTAATCAAATTGAAGTGCACCACATAACTTAATAACAAGTCAACAATTACACGTCAAAATTATATTATAGCACCTTCTCTACATCCATACAAGGAACACATGAATATAATATCCGCAGACTTTGCTACTAATTTTACTTGCTGATGTTTTACACGGCAACAATTCCCATCTTGTAACATTGAAGATCCACCACTCCCAGAAAAGACAACCCATTGAACACTAGATAAGAGGAGCAAATACCTTCGGTAGGGTGAGTGGCGGAATCCTGTGAGGTAACCAGAAGCAACCAGCAACAGAACCAGAAGCTGAAAACAGCTTCACACTTCCCGACCTTCGAAAGATTCATCCCGATGACTGGAGACTTCTGATATATTTTTTTTACGAACCTAATAAGCAGGGTATTTTTATTGCCCTGATAACAGCAAAACAAGAAAATCATACGGCTGTGAATCCAAATGGAACAAATAAATAAATAAAACTCATTCGTGAAACTAACAAAGATTAACCTTTAAACCCGATCCCTTGTGACAAACAGAGCTACCCAAGTTCTGTATAGCAGATGAAACCTGCTAGTTCGAAAACTGAAGGCAAACGAATTCTTACTTGCGAACCGATATTATATACGAAGCAGTCAATAAATAAATAAATAAATAAATGTGCTAAAATTACAAGAAGAAGAGGTAAGCATCGTCTAGAACGACTGGAGTCTGAAACCTCGACGGTGGTAAAATTCTGACCAGGTAGCAAATAGCAATTATAGTCGCTGTCGTTGATTAGGATGGCCACCCCTTTCGTCACAGAGGATGCGATATGGAATTAAACAATCAATGAATTAAGAGGAGACCTCTTATCTAATAGGATCGTGGCTTTGACTTCTGGGAATTGAAGAGGCCGTGGATGAATTAAAAAAAAAAAAAAAAACCGTTGAACGCGTTGAGATAGTTCAACTGAATTTCTTGGCGGCAAAGTTGGGGTTAATTAAACATGCAATAAAAAATAAATAAGAAAAATTAAAAAAGGCACAAAAAATCGCGTTTGTTTGTTTAAATACTCGAATGAAACGTCTCGCCTCGCCCTTCCTGATTGTTGAGTTGTGTCAACTGAACCCAAATTTAGTTTTTTTTTTTTTTTGAATATTGGATTATATCTATTTTAAATTCGATATATGCAGGGACATATCGTTAGAGGTCTCCTTTGATGTTGGGGATCGTAGGTATTTGGCTAAGGACACTAAAATAATATTGAGTTGTCGTTGTTCATCTGTCATTAATTTCAGGAGAAATGAAAATAAAATCCTAATAAAATATATAAATAATAATATTTTTTTAAATGCCATAATGCTTTTTTAATCTTTGAATACTTTTTTGACATTAATAATTTTTTATTAAATAATTAAATCTCTTTTATTTAAAATAATAAGTCACCATTTTTTTAAGTAATCACAACTTTTATTATTTAAATCTTAAAAATTAAACAAAAAATTGCAAATTTTCATGTGAACTTTTTTTCATCATCTAAGTTTTAAAAATAACTAGTCACAATTTTTATTTAAACAATCATAATTTTTATTATGTAAATCATAAATATCAAACAATAAATCATAATTTTTCATATAAAGTTTCTTTTATCATTGAAGTTCAGGTTCTAAAAAAATAATTAATTATAACTTTTATTTAAATAATTATAATTTTTATTTTATAAATCACAAATATTAAACAATAAATCACAACATCCCATGTGAAATTTATTTTATCATTCAAATCTAACTTTTGAAAATAACCAATTATAATTTTTATTTAAACAATTACAATTTGTTATCCTATGAGTTGCAAATATTGAACAATAAATCATAACTTCTCACATGAATTTTTTTTATCACTAAACAAGTTACAATTTATTCATTTAATGTAAAATTATTAATATTAGAAATGTACCCAGAGACTTAAGAGAAATTATAATATTTCAAATGATCTCATTGTTATTTATGTATTTCAATGAGATTTTATCAGCATTTTCTCATAATTTAATGACTGTTAGTGTTTATTGGTGTCTATTGATTCATTTTGTTGTTGTCATGTTGTGTTATTTTTTTAAAAGACTCATTGAATTAGATTAAGGGCTTATTTAGTTTTCTGTTTATTCAAAGTTCATTCGGTAAAATTAATTTAATATAAGACATTTATTGTAATGAAATTTTTGTTTGCATATATTTTTTTAAAATCGATTTGACAAAATTAAAAATTGTTTGGATAGTATATAGTAAAAGTAATTTTTAAATGTGTGGTTACTTAAAAGAACCTATTATAAATAATTTTGTTATGCAAATCTCAATATATTGAAAAATTTTGATTTACAAATAATTTATAAATAACAAACATTTCCAAAAATTTCATAAGCATATTGATCTGTATAACTTTAAATAATTTATAAACAAATACATTTTAAAAATAAACGATTTTGCTCAAAGAAAAGTATAAAAAGAAAATAAAAATTAAGATTATTTCACTAAAAATACATCAAAAATAATATAGGAGATATCAAATAAAATAAAAATTTATTTTATAAAAATTAAATAAATATGATTAAATAAATTATTTTATAAGTATGATAAGAAAATAAGCTACAGAGGTATTATGATTACAGTAGCTTTACTTCACTTTCAAATTGAAAAATGTAGATAAAAAATAGCTAAAAGTTAAGTGTGCATTTAGTTTTTAATTTATTAAAAGTTCATTATAACAAAAGTCAATTAAATAAAGTCAATTATTATAATAAAATATATATTTAAAAATATTTTTTTAAAATTAATTTGATAAATTAAAAATTATTTAAATGATGACAGTAAAATGTATCTTTAAATATACAATTATAAAAAAATATTAATTTATGATGATTTATAATTTTTATTATATAAATGTAATATATTTAAAATGTTTAAAAATATGATAAATTTTAATATGTTAAAAAAATAAAATTATAAAGTTTGATATATTGAAAAAATTATATAATACTAAAAATTAACATAATTAAAAATATATATGATAAATTTTTTTATTCAAAAATATATTTAACCACTTGGACAAACATTTGTTGAGTAATAAAAACTCTAAATAACATTAAAATTAATATATTAATTAATAGAAGTATAAAATATAAAATTTGATATATTGGACAAAATTTATATAAATAGTTGAATATATATCAATGCTAAAAATTAATAATATTAATTGTTCAATTTATAATGTCAAGGAGTTGATCTCTAATAATAATTATTATTTAAATAATAATTATATTTTTAACAAATTAACAATATATTTTAAATAGAAGAATAATATATTAAAAGGACAACATAGTTAAATAACATATCACTTTTTAAATTCACTTTTCAGATCCTTTCTCAAGTTACTTTTATAAATTTACATCTAAATCACTTTAAAAAGTACTTTTTAATAGCACATTTTTTCAATCATTTTATTTCAAACAACTTTCTCCATCTCAAATGTTCTAAAGTGCTTTCCAAATGTAAAATGTAATTTACCTAAATATGCCCCTTAAGTTTTTCAAAACAACATTTTATAACTCTTTTAGCGGACTTCTTAAATGGACTTTAAATTTTTTAAACAAAACCAAACAACTTTGACATTTAAAACTATTCAAAGCACTTTGTAAGTGTAAAAATAAGTTCTTCAAAGTCACATTCCATAACTTTTTCAATGGTTTCCTTAAATGGACTTTGAAATTCTTAAACAAAACCAAACAACTTTGATATTTAAAAATTTTCAAAAGCACTTCACAAATGTAAAAAGTTTAGTATGTGTTTCATTTTTAGTTTGTTAAAAGCTCATTTGATAAAAATTCATTTGGTGAAAATTAATTTAGTAAAAGTCAGTCATTATAATGAAATTTATATTTAAATATAATTTTTTAAAAGTTATTTTCATACATTAAGAGTTATTTGGTTTGTGATAATGAAATATGCTTTTAAATATATAATTATTAAAAAGGATATTGATTTATGATAATTTATAATTTTTATTATACAAATGTAATATATTTAAAATATTTAAAAAATATGATAAAAATTTTAAATAATAAATTTTAATTTATAATGCTAAAAATTTGATCTCTAATTATTTGTATTTGTTTAATTTGTCATTTTAGAAAAAGTGATAAAGATTTATAATTTTTATTATACATTAATGCTAAAAATTAACATGATTAATTATTCAATTTATAATGCTAAAAATTTGATACCTAATTATTATTATTATTGAAATAATAATTATATTTTCAATAAATTAAATAATTTTTAAATAAAAAATGAGGGATTAAACTTGGGGTAGTATGGTTAAATAACATCTATTTTTAAATTTATTTTTTAAAAGTTTCAAATAGTTTCGTTTTAAAAATTCACTTTCAGCTACTGTTTGAATGTGCTTTTATAATGTATTTTTTTATAAAATATTTTATTTAAAAAATTTTTAACTTTTTAAAAGTAAAATTTTATTTTTTGAATATAAAAAGTAAGAAAATCAAACCAACCCTTAATATCCCAACACGCACTAAAATGTGAGCTGTCAATGTAATGTTATTATACTGTGCGTATATTTTTTTGAAGCTAGACGTAGTGCTAAATATCTCATAATTATAATACTATATATGTAGTCGGAGATATTAAAAGCGGATATTCTTTATTTCCTTTTCTGTCTTCACACTGCTTGGATTTTCTTTATTTTCTGTTCATCATCAAGTTTAATTTTAAAAATATACAAACTTATGCGTAATTTAAACGAGACATATAAATAAATTTATGTAATCTATTCTTTTATTTATTTGATCATGCCAATTTAAATATGTTTTTCTCATTGATCCCCACTAACTTCTTCCGCTCCAGGCACGATAATGTTTTATTAGTTAATTAGCCGGCGTTAATTTTGATTACACGTAGCATTAGAGTTAGCTAGAGTATTCGTAAATTGTAATATAAAAATTCAAATGAAAAATTAATTGAATAATCACGTGCCGATATACATGCAGTTAAAAACGATATACTTTAAGGAAAAAAGATAAGAAGACAGCTGGTAAGATGTTTCCTTTGCAATGCTTGTTCGTGTGATCCGCCACACATTGCGAAACTAATATTAAGAAAAAAAGAAAATCAAGCTTATGGTATTTTAAATCAAATAATAATGATGTTCAAACTTGAAAGCTGATTCTAAAACCTAACGCACAAACTTTTTTTTTTTTTTGGCCCGGGGGGGGGGGTGTTGTGTAGCATCCAATAAAAAGAAAATGTTAAGTCGATCGTGTTCAACTCTCAGTAATCCTCGCCCATCGCTCCATTCAAAAACGAACAATTAATTAGTTATTCAAAGGTTTGATACGTCATATGGGGTTGGTGCAGAATAACAACGGCTACAAGTTTCGTCCCGCGAGTCAAGCTTATCGTCAGGGTGGGGAAGGGAGACTGGCCACGATTTTCGTAATTTTAAAATTTGTTTTAATAAAATTTGAGGATTGTATATTTTTAAGATCTTAAATTAGCATATTGTAAAAATGTGAAAAAAACTAGATAAATTCTCATTTTAATTTTATACATGGTATTTTACATACATACAATACAACTATTTTAATAACTTAAAGATATAATTATCATAGAATCTGCTTATTTTTAACAAAATAAAACTATAAATATTTTTAAGGCATTAATGTCATTTAATTTTATTTTTATTTTATATTTGATAAAAAAATTATGAGAATTATTATTGATAAATTTTGCCACCCATCGCAACAAAAATCTCAAAACATATTAAACGTTGTGTGCTTAATATCTATTATAAAATTATAAATTAAGATATTTTTTTAAAAAATTACTTTTTTAAATATATAATCAAGCTATTGAAATCTACGATACAAATGAATTTTATTTTAATATAATTCAATGCCATCCATGTAAAAATTTTCTGACAACTGAGCTTTATTAACTTGTTGATATATTTATTTATTATGATTATCAATATAATTTAAAAAAATAATTAATAGAATTTATTATGATGAACAAAAATTTAGATCTCAATTATAAATTTAATTAATTAATCATTTAATGCTCATAAGTCAGATGAAATTTTTACCAATTTAAAAAATATATATTGAGAAGTACATTACTAAAAAGTTTGTCACAAACTTAATAATTAATAATTTTTATGTTATGAAAAATTAATAAACGAAGCTTAAAAAATAAAAATAATTATTTATTTTTGTTATATATTTGTAAAATTGAATATAAATATATACATTAAAATATTTATATTATATCGGTAAAATATATAGATTTAACTTTCTTTCTATTATCATACATACTTTATCATTTCAGCTCTCTAATAAAAACATTACACGTCAAATTAATGCGTATTACATTAGTTTGATTATATTTAAGGTGAGGACGAGTTTTCTGGTAAAACCGACGTATGCGATCATTAGAAAAGTACAAGCCTGGTCGCTTACACAACTAGAAATGGTCAGGGTGGGAGATACGTATTATGGTAATTCATCGCATTTAAATATGTAATTAATTAATTTGTTGCGTGGTTCAGCCGTTTAGGTAGTCCCAAGCGTTTAAAACGCCAAAAGTTAATTTGAAATAGCTAGTAGGAGTAAACGTGTCCTTTTTTAATCAGTAAAAGCGCTTTTAACCTTTAACGAAAAGTTTTGCAGCCGATGTTTTTAAAAAATAGAAAGCTTCTTCTCCGTGTGAGAATGTGTGCCGTACTCGTAGTCGTACATGTGTTATACATACAAGGAATTTACACTTGCTTGACAGACAGATCCGATCCGCTCATGGTTTGCTATGATAAATATGTTTCGTGGTTTTGCGTGGATGTGTCCAAAAAATAAGTCTTACATTGTCCAGAGGAGTTCTAAGTCCTTAAATAACAAGGAGTGAAAATGGGCTATAATCAATAGGCCAAGGAGAAGAGAAAAGGACTGGCGCACACAATACCAAGTCATCGTGACGAAATCAATTGAAATTTCACGATTCGCCTCTTTGCAATGTCGGGCATATTGCCCTATTAATTATGATTATCACACGTGTTTTACTGGTGTGTTAGAATAGTATTCTTAACTTTTTGAACAAGGACCGAAATCTGCATCTCCCAATAATATGAGAAGAGCTACCCTTTGAAAAAGAATATATAAGTTTCAAACAAACGTAATAAATGTTTACGGAGTTATTTTTCTGGATTGCTATTGCGACTTTGCGATCGCTATCATGTTTAAGTACTAGACATTTACTATATTTTATACCTTTTATGTGACTGCTAACTCAATTATATAGCCGTCCAAGGCTGTTGCTTTAAAATGTTGGTACGCGTTAACTTAATAAGTATAGTCAAATAATAAGAAAACACTGACCAAATCAATTTCCTAGCACACATTCAATTCACGGTGTGGAAGCAAACCCTGGGCATGAGTGCACAGCCCTATGAAATAGTCTAGCGCTTAAATAAACCCCAGGGCCCAGACTAGTACTTTAAAACGAATCGTCGGCTTCAAAATTGAAACGAAGTCGTAACTCATCCTTGTTCGAAATCGCAAGAGACAATGTTAGTGGATTTGGTTGGGGTTAGATGGCCTGCGATGACGTTGCCAAAATTGAATAATTCGATGTCTTTGGTTGGATGACACCGGATTCATCGAGCGCCAGGTAAGCGTTCTGCTCTTTTTTTTTTTACCAACAAGTGTTCTACCTTAGTTATTAGTACCATTCATATCCAGGCAAATTATCAATTGCGTCGCTCTAATTTTCATATTATTATATAGCCAGTATCTTGTGCACGCATTGTGGCGGATTCTATTATCTGAACGTTTGAACCTCAAGTTCTAATTATCTTACCATCACAAGCTATTCCCATCTTTTATATTGGTTTAGATTAGATAATTGTATTTAATACAGGTATTGAGTGCCTATATCATTCAAGTCGTTGACATTCAAATCAACAGTTTAAATACACTCACATATTTATTAATTTTAAATAAAGTATAAATTAATAATTATTAATTTAAATTTTAATGATTTAAATAATATAAATATTTAATGCCTGTGCTAAATATCATCTCTGATATCATAGATATTGTGAGGAAGAGCGTTGCTTTGCTTTCCAACTATTTGGTATTTGAGCAGAACTTTTCACGGATCCACTGTTCCACTTCCACCTACTGGATTATGCCAAACATTAAGGTCAAGGGGGATAGCTGGGTATTTGTTATTCAGGGTCTAGAAAACGACAAAGATATTTATAGTTTACCTTTTGTGATTTGTTTTTAATTGATGTCCAGAACAAGATTATTACGGGACACTACATCTTCAGAATCATTGGCGCGAATGAACTCTCTAAATTCGTTCTGCGTAGTTGTTAGTAAAATTGAAGGGAAGATATCAAGGAACACTACTGCTGGCCGGTTCTACCGATTCTCATGCAAAGTTATAGAGAGAGTGTGTTTCAATGACTTTTATTTCCTCCTCGGTTAAATTTATTTCAATTTTTTTTGAAGTGGTGCACAATAAAAATGTTTGGCCGTTTAGGCGATGCACAGGCATCAAAAAATATCCAGGGGAGGAGAAATCAAACCATGAACAAAGTGTATATCTGCTCGGGTGAAGGGGACCAAAAAAAAAAATCATCCACTCATAAATGCCAAGGAGGAGGTTAAAGATTTTATTGCACGTGATTAAATTGTCTCAGTAATTAAGATCATGCCTTCTAAGAAACAAGCAAATGTACGGACTGATTTATTCAACAACCCATGACATGATTGCATCATTCAACTTTTAAACAGGTCCAAAGCACAACATAATAATAAAATAATAATAAAATTAATATATCACATGTTTTATAATATATTACATAACATGTGTGTATAAATAGGTTGGTTTGTTAGGTTCGTAAATTAGGTTTTGAAAAACTCAACTCAACCTATTTAACTAAATGAACCTAATTAAATGCCTGAAGTAGGCTAGGGTGCAGGCACCTATGACCTCTTCTCACCCTTACTTAAAATATCAAAAAAATATATATAAAAACTAACGACAAAATTCAAGTAAAATACAAGAATTTGATATTATATTTTTCTTTTTATTGACACCAAATAAAAAAGAACACCTATGCGTGTGGGATTGTAATTACACACTTATCATCAACGTAGGGTCGACCGAATTGAGATTCTCTTTATATCCTCTCTCAATACTCAGTCTCATTCATCCATTTAATTATTTATTTGATTTAATGATGTTGTATTGCTAATTATGGCATTACATTTAATAGATTATTTACTATTATCTCTTGAGTTATTTTGGAAAAAAGTTCATAATGCTTGTTTGTGATGATCATTAGATGAATAGTATATTTATTTTAAGGGAGAATGACAAAAAATCTCTTTACATTATGCAAATGATAATTAGATATTATGAACTGTAATAACCCCTCTGAGGTCTATGGAGACTTTTACGGCATTAATTTTTCTTGTAAAATAATTATAATGCTCCTAATTTAAAATAAAATAAATTAGTTGATTTGGTTCCCATTTCCCGCTATCTCTTCTGCTCCATCTTCTTCCTGGATACTCAAGCTTCTGTGCGCCCATCATTTCACCCCAAAGACTTATTCCTTTGAATTGAAGTTGAAATTTTTTGTTGATCTTATCGTCTGCATCAGAGGCTCGTTGTTCCTATTTATTCATCGTTGGCATGCTTTTTCTGCCCAAGGGTTAGTGGTAGAGTCAGAATCTAAAGTTAAGAGATGCAAGATAATTTAATTTATAAATTAATAATTTTTAAAAAAATAATAATTACACTACAACTAAAATTATAATAAAATTAGTAGATCGATCATTATTTTCAATTAGAAAATTATATCAAATACGTTTTTTATTGATATTAAATATGTTAATATACTCTTTTATGTAAATATGTTCTTTATATTTTATCTTGATCATTAAAATATTATATATTTAAAAATATTTTGAGGGCAACTATTTTTTATTTAGCTTAGAAAGTACAAAATATTAAAAATAGAGATGTACAGCTGCAAAATTTATACACCTTATTTATATATATATATATATTTTTAATGGGAAGGTACATTTGTCGGCACTCATGATGATGTGGCTCCATCGCTGCTTGCTATGCCTTGTATTGTGGATGATCCCCTTACTTCCATGATCCATGTTTTTGTTTAATCTTATATGGCCTGAAAGCTCATATATTAATTCATTAGGCTTCATTTGAAATAACGTCACGTCACGAGTCCTTTGGTGTGGTCCTATTTTTAATCCTCCCCATTTTATTTATCACTGGTGTATTATAGTTGAAAACTAAGCGTAAAACATGATCACGTGATACGTGCTTTAAGTACCAACGAAGAATATCTTTTCAAATGAATAAAAATAAGACACATAGATTTTCTACAAATTATCTAAACAATATTAAAAGTAGAACATTTTCAAATTATTAACAAGTACTGGTTCTAATAAAAGAAATTATGACAGTTTAAATATGAAATTTTAAGTTTAAGTTTGTGTGAATATACAAAATTTTATTTAATCTCAATGAACCTTATGTTTCCGCACAGAGCCTTATTTAATCCTCTTCTTGTGAGAAATCAAAGCTTTACTGGTTCAAGCCCCGCAGTGATAATGACGACAACTGACTGATGTTTATTCACTCTGCGGCACCTAAGTGTGATTTGCATATTTTAAAAGGATCTTTTTGTTATTCTCCCTCATTTTAATGCCATGATTAACCATGTGATACCATTAAATTAAACGGATAGATATGATTAAATATTAAAATATGTATTAAGAGAGGGCATAAAGAGGAGAAGATCTGGATCGAACCCACCCTATACTGAGTACCGCCGTGTATCTGTCAGAAAAACGAGGTTGATAACTTGATATCAAGAAAACAACTTTACTGGTTTGAGTAGGACCAAAAATGGATCAGATAAACTCGAATTAAAATTGCCGCAAACTAATTACATGCAGAACCGTAATTAATTCGCCCAACAGGCAAACTAATAGACATGGCTCCAAGACTAGGCACATAATTAGAAGTACAGACGAGAACACGGCACGTTTTTTCTCCTTACTGTTCCGTATTTAACTTGCGAACTTTGACAGTCAATTAATTAATAGTAGAGATCTTACAGTTGGAAATTAACCTGCACACTAAACATCGAAATTCAGCAAAAATAATTAACAATATCATAAATATGGCGATGAATCTCCTACGCGGCATTATTCGCATCGAGTTCGTGCGGTTTTCTGGCAGCCATCTCCACAGACTCCTCTTGCGTCGTGGGTCTCTCACAAGCTGACTTGCTGTCACGATATATGAAGTAGAGTAGCAGTTGTATCGCTCCTAAAGCAGAACCCATACCATTAGGCACCTGCAATAGCAAAACCAGCCCAGCAATTATAATACAGCAGACTTCTTTTTGTAGTATTACATATGCAAAATGTATAAATTAAAATTTTTCTGGCACGAGAAAGCCATTGGATTTCGAAGAATGGAATAAAAGGATGGGGCTTACGGCGACGAAAGGGTCCCTGCCAAGAAGGCCAAAGATGAACCAGGAAGTGCCACACAGGAACACAAGCAACGACACCAAGAAGGGCATGTGCTCCACGCTCTTTGTTTTTATCACCATTCTCTGCATTCCATTACGCCAACTTCTTCTTCATCGATTAATTATATATATGTATCCTCATTTTCACTCTTGTCAAGTAATACTCAATGGCTAGAAGGGCGCTTACAATGATGGAAAGGGGTGATCCGTACATAAATATGGAGAATACGGCGGCGGTGAAACCGCAGAAGAGCATCCTGGGCTTGCCGTGAAACGCGAAGAGTGAGATGACGACCACTGCAGAGAACACCGCAAGCACGAACGCGAAGAGTCCGACAATTTTGAGCTTCTCCTTCTTCGGTGCCAACACGATGAACGTTAACACGTACATGGTTTCAATCACCGCTCCTGTTCCATTCACTGTTGATAATAGTACGTTCCAAGGTGACACAAATGGCAAGCCATACCTGCACTCCGATCTCTTCGTCGTTAGAAAAGGGTTCGTGATTTTCTTGCCTTGCGTGCATGTTTTGTTTTATAGATGACACTTTTGGTACAAGCAAGGAAATCGGAAGCTGTTCGAAGAAGGATATATACCAGGCAGGGAGGAGACGGCTGAGGAGTGTCAAGATGTAAATAACGCCAGAGAATTCCTCCGTGGATCTGTTCTGTATGATTCTTTTGAATAACATCCTACAAACAGAATATGGTAACATTTTCGCCTAAAAAGCGTAATGATCACATGAAGCAAAAAATTACTGTTCATTTCAGGAAACAGAAGTTGAGAGGCCAGTGGAATTTCAGTCGTGAGGATAGAGGAGAAAGCTGGTGGAACATACGTACACAGGAGCCAAGAAGAGGAACAGAGCAGAGGCATTCCCTGCAAGAAGAATGAAACAGAAGAATGAATAACGGAGAAGAATATATATTACAAATCCTAGGAAGAAAGCATGTAGACCCACCGAATATTCCCACGAAGAAACGCAAGAAATCCATGATATTCAAACTTCAAAGAATGATATGTTCCTTGATTAAATGAATTGAGGGATGGACGAGAGTAGAGAGGAATGGGAAAGCGGAAAAGAGAACAAGGTGGCAGTGCGTGTTGTTTTGGGTGTAACTGTAATTAGCGATAACTGTATCTGCCGAATTTGTGATTGAGAACCGTCTGCTTCACGGTTGTAGATGCAGTGACGTTACGTGGGTGATTATCTGCTTTGGTTTTCAGTACCAGTTACCATTTATGTGCATTTGCAAGTTTTGAAATTTCCAACTCACGTAGAAATATCTATCTTGATTCAGATGAGATTACAGTACAGGTTTTTTTTTTTTAAAGTGACCCAATTGCATGGCCTAGCAGAACTGGTGTGGCTGCCCTTCAACTAATGTAATTAATATCGATAGATGGGTTGGGCCATAGTCACTTAATAATGTGGTCTTTGTTGTAGGAATGAATGGGCCTTTCAGTGGGCCTTAACAAAGCTTGAAACCAATAAAATGCTTTGAACAATTCTTGGCAAAATTTAAATGGACGTATTGATGATCGATATTTATTTATAAATAAGGATTTATAATGTTGCATATATTCAGGAAAATATAAATTATAAATAGTATTCTCTTTGATTTTATTTATAGGATAGAGAGAGAAAATTTTTTTTATTCTATTTATAAATCATGTCATTAAATTTTGATCTTAATTTTTTTATCCTCCATTAAATGTTGAAAAAAAAAATATTATTAAAATGTGTATATTTAATAGGAATAAATTTAAAAAATTATTAAATTTTAAAATAAAATTAATAAATTTAAAATTTTTTTAATACTGATAAAATATATTAAAAATAATTTATAAATAAAATTATAGGAATCTATTGCATTTACAAAGTTTATTGGACCAAATGTAAAATGAAATGAGCATGTATCACAAACGAAGGCGGTTTCAGGCCCAAAAGGCCTAAAGATCAAAGAGTCGGTTTTAGACTTTCAGTGGCTGCTAACCAGTGTTTTGGGGAACGCAGCTCCGGCCAATTCTGGTTTCCTTCGCTTTACTCCACCTTTTCATTCTCCGTCGTTTAACTTCTCTCAATTCCGAAGGACAGATTTCGCAGCTATGGCAGCCTCGCCTATGGTCATGGACTCCAAGCCATCTTCGGAACTACCTCCTTTCCTGGCCTCGACGAGATCCGATTACCTTCTGGGTTTCGGCGACGGAACCTCTGACGAAGACGATCTCTACAGTCGCCTTAAGTCGCTTCAGCGCCAGTTGGAGTTTATTGACATTCAGGAAGAATACGTCAAGGATGAGCAGAAGAATCTAAAGCGCGAGCTCCTTCGAGCCCAGGAAGAGGTCAAGAGGATCCAGTCCGTGCCGTTAGTCATCGGCCAGTTCATGGAGATGGTGGACCAGAATAATGGTATTGTTGGCTCGACGACCGGATCGAATTACTATGTTCGTATTCTTAGTACCATCAACCGCGAGCTTTTGAAGCCCTCGGCATCCGTCGCTCTCCACCGTCACTCTAACGCGCTTGTGGATGTTTTGCCGCCTGAGGCCGACTCCAGTATCTCGCTTCTGAGTCAGTCAGAGAAGCCTGATGTCACCTATAATGTAAGTTCGATCATTGTCTCATAATTGCTGTTTGATTAAACGTTGCTAGGAAAAAATTGAATTCTAGGGTTTCATTATAACTTAAAATTAGTTGCTTTTTTGCAATTCAAACCAACCAAATAAAGAAAAAGGAAGAAGAATTCCAATTACCATTTGGTTTTCATTCTCCAGTGTTCTGCTATATAGCGATCATATGCAGAGTTTGAATTAGTGTCAAACCGTCAATCCTGGGCATATTATTCTACATCAACGGGTGCCCTTAACGTTTTATTGGAATTTGTTATGTGAATGGGGAATTGTAGATTTTACTGTGAACTAAGTCATTCTCTTTATAACTTTTATTTGGAAAATGGCGTCTTTTGTTGAAGCTCAATGACCAATTGGGTTTTTGAGCATTCTTGTGCACAACTGTGATTCTCACAATGTTCACTGGTGTCAATCCTGGAGATATTGGTCCATTAGTCGCAGTTCATTGTTAGTGTTAGGGAACTAGAGCTGGGAGTCTGGGACTATGATTGAACATCTATCCCACTGCTTTGTCAGTTATCTTTAAGGCTTCTAAAGAAATTCTAGGGCGGGTTTCTCTGAAATCTGAAATACACTTGCATTCCCACCCAGAGCAAAAATGCATTTTGTATTACACTTGGTAGGCTTTTTGTTTAGCATGTGCACTATGATTATCTTAAAGTACTTTCATATTTGACCCTTAATCCTTGTTGTTATGATAATTTCCTTAGGACATTGGAGGATGTGATATTCAGAAGCAGGAGATTCGTGAGGCAGTGGAACTACCCCTTACTCACCATGAACTGTACAAACAAATTGGTATTGATCCTCCTCGTGGTGTATTACTATATGGTCCCCCTGGCACTGGGAAAACAATGCTTGCCAAGGCTGTTGCTAATCATACCACAGCTGCCTTCATTAGAGTCGTTGGATCTGAATTTGTGCAGAAGTATCTTGGTGAGGTATGATTTCCAAGTCATATGTTTTGGAATGATATAAATGACATTGTAGCTTGTTCAGTTGTCTTAGACCATTTAAGAATATTGGTTCCATGTTTGTATTTATTAATTTAATATTGCTCTTTGCATCATCACAATAACATCTTTCCAGTTTGAGGATCAAGTATACTCTATGGGGGCTCCTTCTGTCCTTCATATGTGGACTTTTTCCCATGATGTTAACTACTGTGCTTTGTTTAATGAACTATGAGTTTCAGATTCATATTATCTTTACTGAGTAAAGGAAACATATAGGTTACCAATGATTTATTGTAAAATCTACAAATCCGTTAGAAATTTTCTGTTTTAGGGTCCAAGGATGGTACGTGATGTTTTCCGTCTTGCCAAAGAGAATGCTCCGGCAATTATATTTATTGATGAGGTAGATGCAATAGCTACTGCTCGATTTGATGCTCAAACTGGGGCAGATAGAGAAGTACAGCGTATTCTCATGGAACTTCTCAATCAGGTACCTATTAAAAAATATTGCTTTCAGTGCTTTGTGTTTCACTAGTATAATTGCAACTGTGTTTGGTTTTGACCATTCTATGAATTTCTGATTCTTCTCTATGGTTTTGCCTTGTTGATTTCAGCTGCTAAATTTATAAGTTAACTCTATTTCCTTATAATCAGATGGATGGATTTGATCAAACGGTGAATGTCAAAGTTATCATGGCAACTAACCGAGCTGATACATTGGACCCTGCTCTTCTGCGTCCTGGAAGGCTTGATCGCAAAATTGAGTTCCCTTTGCCTGATAGGCGTCAAAAAAGGCTTGTGTTTCAGGCAAGGCTTTCTTCTTTTCAGCTTTTGCTTTAATCTTATTTATGTTGGTATTCAGTGCTTTTATTGATTAGGACGATGATGTCCTCATTAGTAACAGAACTGTTGGGGCTTGTGTCTTTGTCAATGGACTTTCAGTGGCTTGTAGCTAATTATTTAGTGGTGTGCTTTTGGACAGGTTTGCACGGCGAAAATGAACTTGAGTGATGAGGTAGACCTAGAGGATTATGTTTCTCGTCCAGACAAAATTAGTGCTGCTGAGGTTTGTTTATCTCTTATATTCTAATTCTAATTTCCTTATATTAAGAAATTTATGTAAATGCCATTTTCCTTGGTATTGATTTCCTGATGGCAAATGGTAAATGACTGATAACTCTATCTTTCAAAAAACAATTGATCTGTCATCTTATGAATTGGCTTGAACCAAAATTTGTTAAATATGTTTTCTTGTACTTTTAAAATTTGAATTTGATTGTATTAGATTTGTCATATGGAAACATTAAGCAATTGATAGATTCATGTGAATGGAAAACAAAGTTCAAATATAAAACCATGATGTTTATTTAAAATCATTGTTTTTTCAATATACATATTCCCTCCATCCTAATTTGTAAGATATTTTTTAACAAAAATCACATATACTAATAAAGTTATTCTTCTTCTTCTTCATCTTCTTTTTTTTTTTTTTTTGCTCAATACTGAAAAAGCTCATTAAATACACTTTTATAATAATATTTTTTTCAAAATAAAAATATAAACCTCTGAAAATACTTTTAATTTAATACTCAATTTGTGAAAAAATATTAAAGAAAGAGGATATAATGAGAAAAGTAATGTTGGAAAAGTATCTGAAGCCTTAATTTTCTGAAAGTGTCTCATATTTTATGATGTCAAATTTCTTCCAAAATTATCTTATAATTTGTGATAGAGATAGTATTTTGAAGTGATTAGATGCACTTGATAGGTTTCTTATTGTGGTTCGCTATTCTGTGATAACAACCAAAGTTGGTCCAATTGATAGAGATTAGACTTGTGCTCCATATGAATGAGTTAAAATCTCACTACTAATGGAAGGATTTTGTTGGTAATTTGTAAATACCTTTGTTAGTGTTTTTTAAACTAAGGCTTATCTTCATCTAATGAGATTTCAAGATTTGACTCACCTATAGAATGTCCCAATAGTTGCACCCAGGGATTCCTAGATTGGAGTATTTGCTCTTTTATATGAAGAGATATCTGGATAAACAATAACAATACTACGTTGATATTGTATATAGTGTGAGCATGGAAGATTGTAATGTCACCGTTTCATTGTGTTATGTAAACAAAAATAACAGTGAGATGGATCTTTGGTGTCTGCAGATAGCAGCTATTTGTCAAGAAGCAGGAATGCATGCTGTTCGTAAGAATAGGTATGTCATACTACCAAAGGACTTTGAGAAGGGCTACCGGACAAACGTGAAGAAACCAGACACCGACTTTGAGTTCTACAAGTGATGAGGAGGGCTGGATAAGAATTTGGAAGATTCCTGTGTTCTTGTTGAAAGAGGAAAAAAAACTGTAATCCTTGTTCTCGCTATAGCACTTGTTAATTTGTGTACCGACTTTGCTGAGTCACCGAAGGGCTGTACTGCTTACAATATATTGTGCATTGGTTTTCTAGAAATCAAAGATCATTCTCATTTCTTCATTAGTCCACATCTATTGTATCGTTCATTTATTGTGCAGCTTGAGAATTTGACTAATTTGGGTGTCATTTCATCATCCATGGTTCATTTGTGCCCTGCTAAGTGCCAATAGACAATCCACAAGGTAGCAAAGGAGCATCAGAATTTGCCCCCAACGCACAGCCTAATCCACGAGAGGTGTTGTTAGTGTCATTACTATTATGATTTGTACTCACTGGTTATCCGATTTAGTTCAGTTTCTGGCTAATTTTTGGTGATTGTTGTCATGCTCAATCTGTTCCATACTACTCGCTCCTGCAATTCTATACGAGGCAATGGCCAAAGCATGTGGGGAGGAACGGGGTGATAAGCTTTCGTGCGGGAATTCTTCGGATTATTAGAGCTTGCGTGGCAATCATTTATCAGCAGATGGGCAGCTGAGTGTGATTGGACAGGGTTCCCGATGCCTGAACCCTTCTAATTTTTTTTAAAAAAATTACAACGGCAAGCTTTTTAACGAGAATAGATGCTCATATACGATATCTCCTGCAGGGGGGGTGGGTAGAAGACCAGCTCGTGTGCCTAAAGAAACCGCCAACTAAAACTAAGAATTGAGACAAGTTAATGCAAAGGCCACAAACTGAATCCTGGGAGCAACTTCTTGTGGAGGAAAAACTGCCAAGGGGAAGGTTTTCCGAAGGAAGCAAGCCAACGAATACATGCATGAGCCGGGCCTCACGTGAAGGTCTTGGACCATGGTTGTGGGCCCCTTGAACCATTTATGTTGGGACCATTTTGTAAGCAGCCAACGGGGGCGTCCATGATCCTGAGAGGAGACCGTGAACCGTTTAATATTTATTGTCTGTTGCTGTGTTTGGACCGAGCCCTGCTTTAAACTCCCACTCCTACCTGTTCCTTTAACCATTATAAATTGATTTGGCATTAGTGAGAGGCACGAGATATGTCACAGTGTTCCCAATGTGTATTTATTAATTAAATAGCATGAGAATATTGAAGCAGAGACTGCATTCATATATTCAGATATTTTAACAATTAAAAAGATGGGGCCCTTCACTCTTGTATTCACCCGTTGCGCCTGCCTCGCTTCGGTCTCGCTCCCAGAAACAATTGCTCACTTGCGTACGCTTGGGATAACATTACCCTCAAAATTAATGAAACCCATTGGGGCTTGCCTTCCCTCTCTCTCCCTTATCTCCTTCACCTAGCTGTCCCTCAATCCTTGCATCTATTAAAAGACAAGAAAAATATACATCAATTTCTGTACATTTTACATCTTTTTTAACAGTAAAGTAATAATTTTTTTTTGAAAGTGGTATGAAATATCTCTCAGGTCAGGAGTCAGAACATTTTACTGCGACTGCGAGTGTCGGTGTCGTGTGTGTGTGTGTGACGCTGGCATCAGGGAGATGTGATCGTGAAATCAGGTTGCAGTGATGAGAGGCCGGTGTGGGAACAGTGAGAATGCGTGGTGGCCTTGTTTCGCTGGGGGACCCCTTTGGATACCATTCATTGAATGGCTTGCTTCTTCTATATGCTTCTCCTCACCAACTTCAACAGTTCCTCAATTCTCCACATTAAATTACTCTCGAAATAAATAATTAACACTATTTGTCTTCATCTAACCTGCACCCACATTTTGCTCGTCAATTGTATTCAACCAGATTCCGCCCAACTTGAAGATGTTTAGTTTAGGTTCTTTACTCTAGTGATTGAACTGATGACTGTGCAGGGTTTAGATTTTTTTTTCCCCCAATTAAGGAAGGGTAACGTCACTTTTAAATTTCCTTTTCTTTTTTTGCAGTAAAACTGATTTAATTTGCGAATAATAACCTTATAACCTAATGGCATGTTTTCTAAAAATGAAAAGTCATGGGTTTGTTTTTATTTATAATTTTAAGTCGGTTAGTGCTTGCTTTTTTAAATCAAAAAAGTTTAATTTTGAGGAGAAGGAAGAGTAAGAAAGGTGCCTTGGTACCACCAGTTTTGTTTGTAATGGAAACGTAAGGTATCTTCAAAAAACAGAAAAGAAAAGAGCCATGTGGACAAAAATTCAAGGAATGAGGATTGGATTATTAATTAGGGATTTAGGGTTGTCACTTGGAAGATTCCCTATCCCATTTTCCGACAATCAAATACTTGCGCGTCAAAATATTTATTTTATTGTGTCCGTTTCCAGAGTCTTTCTCTCTAGTCTACTCACTACTGCATATCTTTCCAATGGATGATAACAAAATATTCATAATTTTTTTATTGCACATCACAAATGTTCTGATCATTTAGTATTTCCTTTTTAAAAATATTTTATTTTATCCTCTATTTTTAATATTTTAAAATTGCTTTATGCTTATTATGATCTTCACGTAAAGTTAATAATGTGATTTCACTAAATTAGCCACAGGCTTTTTTACTTTGCCGGATAAAGGGGAATTTTTTTTTAATGGAAATAAAGGGGAAGTTTTTTTAGGAAAAAAAGAAGGAAGGAATGAGGAATGACCCTTGATTAGGTAAAGATTGACTTAATTTCCTTACCTGATTTTGTGTCTTGTTTTTGTTTTTAGGTTACGTTAGGTACTTAATTATTATGAATTTAATATAATATATGTTTACTGGATTCAGCTTAAAATCGCATTGGATTGTTGGTATACTTATGAACATGATTAATTAAACGTTCAAAATCATAAGACTATCCCATGCGAAAATGACATGTAACTAAAAGTACGCGTAGTTACTTTGCATTTCCTTCTGACATTTCTGGAAATTGATATATACATTATATTAATATAATGCAAATCCAAAGTCCAAACTTAACAATAATCTTCTCATCGTCGCGCAAATAATTGAAACAAACATAGTGCATTTCTTGGCAAAAAAAAAAAAAAACACACAATGCACTCGGATATTTAAAGTACATATCCAAACTAAAGTCCAAACTCGCAATTAATTACAAGGGAATTTTTCCCCAACTGTGAACTCTTTTAATTTATTGGGAATTAAGACAATGACAGTTGTGTTTATTAATCTTGAATCACCCAATTCTATCATTTAATTGTTGAAACAGTGAGACCTGGCTATAACTATGTACATTGCTTATCATGAGAATAAAATTGTCCACTGTCAAAGAAAAAAATGACATGTATGTGTCATGATTTTTTAATGAGCCTCTCTTATCCTCGAGTATTTTTGTTTCAAAGGTTCATTTCTCAATTACACTAAAAAACGCCTAAAAATTATTGCTATTGAAATCTATTCTCTAATGTGATTTATTTACTTCCTCGAAATAACTAATTATAAAATTCTCAAAAGAAGATTTCAATTTTGTTATACATTGAGGACTATGAGAAGCCGCTTGCTGAACCGAAGATAACACGAGATAAATTAACATGTAATTATATAAATATATATACAAATTGACTTTTGATAGTAGTTTCTGCTGGAGTCCTCGAAATAAGCGAGTGGTAGAAATATTGAAATGGCTTGTCATGATTGAAAACAATAACCAAATATAGTAAAACATGACAATATACTAAATTCATAAAAATATAAGTCATGAAAGACGTAAGACCCTATATTAATTCAAAACAAGTGCACGATAGTCTGCTTAGTCACTAAAATAATACATCTGCGAAATGGATGCGAAAATAACTCATCGTGTTTTTCATTTTTCGGGAGGCTAAGTGACATAAAGTAATGGCCTGGATTCTTTATTCTAAGTTATAAATCTGATGTCGTTTTCTCTAACGTTCATTTCAACACCTTCCACGTGATGCCAGTTATTTACAAATGTCACCATGGTTTGACTTAATAAAATATCCAAAGTCAGTTGATGTTTTATTCAAAAATCTAGGCATCAACGTAGTATAATATATATATAAAAAAATCCGAATTTCTGATTAAGTTAATTATAAATAAAATGATATTGAAGCTGCAATTAATGTATAATATGATATAGTTTAATTAATTATTACATCAAGCCTTATTTTTAAAGTCCGTGTAATAATTCCATGTTAATATTTCTAATTATTGTTTATTGCTTAATGATTAGTGTTGTTTAATCGTCTTGCTTGACCTAATAATTGTAGGCTCAAACAATAAAAAGTGAGTTGCAGCCTTGAATAAATTAACAAAATGCTTAACCATGATACACATTTACGTGCTCACTTTTTATATTTTTCTTATTATGGGAATTTTTCAGTATCTAATCAACTAATCTGTATTTAAGTCGTGCTGCGTTTTATATGACGGGAAGAACTGAAGAAGCTCTTTGAACAATGTTTTTTTTTTTTTAATTCACGGTACCTGATTTTAAAATTTTACTTAAAATACACCAAATTTACTCCATGTACAACGGTCGTGAGCATGCCTGTCAAACTCACAGAGTCACAGTAACTTACTGCAGCATTTTAAACGCAGTGAATATAAAATACTCCCTTCATTTAAAAATATAAAATATTTTTTAAATAGTTGTATATTAAAAAATATAAAATATTTTTAATTTTTTGAAGTATAATTATTATTATTTTTTTTAAAAGTGTCCTTATTGATAATAACTTTATATTTATTGTAAAGTATTTAATAGAAGGTAAATATAAAAAATAGGGTTAATTTAAAAGTAAGTGATCATTTTATTAGGAGATGAGATTTAATTAAAAATACCTTACATTTTCGAACGAAAAAAGTACATGATATGTTATGGTTTGATTCACATGAAGAGTATTTTGTCAGTAATCTCGTAGTAAAATGGCATATTTTTCTTATCTTATTTATAAATCACACTCTAAAAGATTCAATTAATTTCATTTTTAAATTATCGTGCGTCTTTTTAAGTAATATTTAAAAAATATTTTTAAAATTATCCTTCATAAGAAAAAAAAAATAATATGATATCATTTTTAAATTTGTTATATAATGAGATATTTAAAATTATACATACTTTTATTTTTTTTACTTTTCTGTATTTATATTGACGATATTCATAAAAATAAATTATAACGAGAATCAAAAGAGT